CGGACGAACGCGGGACACGGGAACACCTCGCACAATCGGAACCTTCCGGCACATCTGATCTCTCATCACTGACCTGGCATGAATCTGGAAAGGGGGGGGGGGAATTCAGGGATGAAGGCACCGAGATCAAGATGAACCTGAGTTAGACCGACTCTCTTCTCCAAAACATCTTACATCCTCATTTTCCTTCTTACAAAAATATGACTCTTTACAAAATCTGAAGAAAAGTCTTTCTTCGCCAAGATCCGCCTCATTATCTTCTCTGGCGTCCGGAGACGCTTGAACCCCAAGCTCGACGGGAGAATGAGAGTTGCAGGTTAAACTGCTCTGCTAATGCCCGGAAAATCACTCGACACGGCCCACGTGTGGGAACTGTAGAGCCCTAGCAAAGGAAATAAAGGAGCAAGTCCAACATGCACGTAGTCCTTCACAAACACAGCATGGACACAGGATTACAGCAAAACACTCAGAAGAAACAGCAGGTTTTTTTTTTTTCCTTTTTACTGCGAGCCACGCTGTGGTGGTGCTGCAGCTCAGCGTCCTCCCCAGGTGCAGGACATGCGATCGGGTGTGTATCTATAGCACTGTATGGTCCCTCTGATCTCTTTAATAATCACACCCGCAAAAAAAAAAAATTTAAAAACACTTTTGATGCATTCATGCACACACGTGTGCTGGTTCATGAGGAAACATTCATTGAGTCGTAGGACAGAAAGGTCAGTGTCTACTCCAGCAAGGGCAGTAGTCAATTTCCACTCCCCTCCCCTCCCCCCCACTCTTCTCTCACATATTTACCCTGTTTCCTGTAGCACCAGGAGGAGGACTGGTTCTACACCCATAATAGTCACGGAAACTACAGTTCTCTTCAGCTCCATTGAGGGTCAATCTGAATCCAAAGGAGACGACTCGGCTGTGGAGTCCAGAAAACAGGCTCCCTCCATTTTGTCACTGAAAACAAGCTCGAAAACGTGGATGGATGGAGGAAATGGCACTGGAACAGCCACTCTATGTGGGTGGGACTTCCTGAGTTTGTGATTGACAGTCTTTGTGAGAAGCTTGCTGGTCTTTCAAATCGCCATCATTGGGGTTTCAGAGACAGTTTAAAAGGACACACAATGGTTGAAATCTAGCCTTCAGTCTGTCTGCCTGTTTGATTTTGAAACTGATGGATGATCTGTACTGGGACTGACAGAACAGGCTGTTGTATGTCTGACATCTTAAAAATAGGGTAGAGTTTGAATGCCGCGGTCACATGACTGACGGAGGACAGAAACAGGTGTGCAGATCAACAGTAGAATGACTATAGAGAAGAAGCAGGCAGACATGACCAGTAAAGAAGCTTCTAGAGACAGAAGCCTCCTGAAAGAAAGTATACATGCTCTCAGCCCAAGATACAACGGAGACAGTGACAAACCGTGTCACTCGTCCCTTAAAAAAAATCACATTCCTCTTCATTGTTGCCTTTTCAGCAGAGCATGTCACGCATGGAAAAATTGGCAGACGTGTCGTGCAAAAAACATGATCACAGTCAAAGGAACGAAAGCCAGATGATGTGTACAAAAATAGAGAAACTCTGAGACAGAATTTACCTCTTTACTGCATCACGGAAAACTAGTGTTTGTCTTTTTTGTCTTTTTCTTGTTCTCTTTTTAAAAATCAAACTTTGCATTTCTAGCACTGAAGGGATACAGGCTTTCTGTTAGTGACGACCCGGGAGAAGATCCTCTATCAATCCGACAGCAGCGGCCTGCCGCAGCGACGAGGATCCCCGTCGAATGATAGAAACCAGACAGCAAATGCAGCAACGAAAAGACACCATCTTCCCAGCTTCAGAGTTTTCCAGCACTTTCTTTTTGATCTGCAGGTTAATAGGTAGCCATGCTTAGGAGGGTTTCGGGCTGGGCGGTCACGAAGTCTGGCTAACGATGAGTAACTTGGGTGGGGTTGGGGTACACAACAGGCATTATTATAAACAGGGCCAAAGACCCAGGCAGCCCACATGACCACACATGCAAAAGAGATTCCGTCCCCCCCCCCCATTTTTCCTGTTCTGTCGCTTGCTCCCCCGAAGCCCTTGCTTCAAAACCCGTTGGCTCAGGGTTCGAGCTGAAGGCAGCAGACGTCCCACAGCTGTAGGAAGATTGTTCACACGCCTCAAGACAAAATATATATCGATAAATATCAAACCAGGCAAGGGGATGAAGGCCTGTGGGGGCGTTTTTAAGAAGGGGGGGAGTCTAAGAAACATGCCAAGAAGATTTCGCAGAGCAGCACAGACCACGGGAGAGGGGACAAGACCGAACGCAACGACAGGAACGTGATGTCTCTAGTTTCCTGGATCACTCTTCCTCTCGACCTCATCTTCCTCCACCTCCAACTCATCTTCCTCGTCCAAGGACACCACCCCGGACGACGCGACGTCTGAGACCCTCCTGTGGCCTGCATAGCCCGGGCAGACGCTATCGTAGTCCTCACAGGCCAGCTCCTCTTCCTCAGGGGAGAGAAAGGATTCGGAGCAGGAGGCGCAGGAGGAGTCGTCGCGGGTGGTGCGGCCCAGGGAGCGGAAGGCGCAGTCAGCCCTTTGGAGGCCCTGCAGCACCCCCAGGATCTTAGCGGCCAGGTCGGCGGGTGTGGTCTGGGGCCCACCGGGGCCCCTCAGCAGTGGGAGGTCTTCCAGGCTGCACAGGCTGGAGTAAAGGGCATCTGGGGAGCCACTCTCACCCCCCGGCTGAAGTCCCTGGTTGTGCAGGAGGTCCCGCAGGTAGGGGGGGTACGACATGGTGTCTGTGGGGGAGCAGATTGTTAGGAGACAGAGTTACAGTAGGTATCACTGCGCTTTCCTGTATAAGTACACATATGCAGACAGACACAGGCAGACAGACAGAGACAGATAAAAACAGATAAAACAAACATGGACAGACACAGACAGGCAGACAGACAGAGACAGATAAAAATAGATAAAACAAACAAACACGGACAGACACAGACAGTCAGGCAGACAGAGACAGATAAAAACAGATTAAACGGATAAAAACAAACAGAGACAAACGCTAACAGTCAGGCAAACAGACAGAAATATATAAAACAGATTAAACAGATAAACACAAACAGATAGATACACTCAGCCAGAAAGACAGACAGGGAAAAACAGGTAAAAATATATTATGCAATAGACAGACACAGACACTCAGGCAGACAGAAAAAAAAACAGAGGAATAAACACACAGAGTGACAGACGCAGATAAAACCAAATAAACAAAACAAATAAACACAAACACAGGCAGACACACTCAGCCAGCCAGACAGACAGACACAGATCAAAACAGGGTAAACAGACAGACAGGAAAACAGACAGAGAGAGACAGATAAAAACAAGTGAAATATATAAAGCAAAAAGACAGACACAGACACTCAGGCAGACAGAAAAAAACAGATGAACAAAAACACAGATAGACGCATATAATCAGAGACAGACACAGATAGAACCAGATAAACAAAACAGATAAACACAAACATTGAACCTGTTTCTTGGTTAACTGAATAACTTGTCAGATTTAAGGTAGCCAAGTTTAAATAGAATTTATCTTCTTTCACTTCCATTTAGCCCAGACTACCTGTAATCCACGAAGTTACCCGGTTAAGCAAGAAATCCTACTTTGTGATATAGGCCCACTCAGACTGAGTGACTGACTGACAGACAGAGATATAAAAGATAACCACAAACACAGGTAAACACAGACAGACACAAAGACACGTGGAACAACTCATACACTCAGAAACACACGCAGTCCCACAGAAGCTCATACGGACGCACACACACACAGATATATATATACACACTATCTCACACACACCCAGGCAGATACATATACACACACTTACTGTCCCACTGCCCTACTTTCCGTCTGAAAAATGTTTTGCTTTCTCTATGTAACTAGATATTCACATTCACCTCTCATAAAAGTTTAACTGCCTTCCTGTTCTGGAAAATGCATTTACAAAACCAGCACAAAATACTGAATTGTGCTCTTAGATGCAGTTTATTTTCTCTCTCTATCTTTATATAGCTGCTTTGACGGCTATTTAAAAGTAGCAGCTTTCAGTTTTTTCCCTGTGAGGTTTCCACCCCCTGAATTAGCAGAGACACCCACAGAGGTACAATACAGCCTCCCTGTTCCTTACTGGTTGAATTGTCATTGGGTTTGCATCTCCCTCACTTCTAAAGGAGAGTGAATATGACACACGGGATGTGATTGGCTGTCAGCTCCCCTCCCCCTGCACTCCTCCCCCACCTTGTGTGCGAGAGAGAGAGAGAGAGAGAGCACCTGTTTGAGCTGCATGAGCTGTGTCATTGGGGGGGTAGTCTTCATCGTAAGACTCGTCATTGGAGTCCTCTCCATCCACAGACGACCATGCCCGTAACTTTGCTTCCGCAATGGCAAACTGCTCGGCTACGCCTGGAGAAAGGGAGGCAGGAGAGTAAGGCGGACTCCCCAGAGAGGAAAATTCACTCCAGGCTCTGACTGGCCCCCTCCTCCATTTCCTTGTTCCTCCCATTTCCCATAACGGCCTCTGATAGGACCTACAGATGCTGAAACTCGCCCTTCCTTCCTGTGCCTGCTGGCTCCACTCTGATAGGACCCGACAGGAGGGCCGTCCATCCAGATGCCTGACTCTAGAAAGCTGCAGTCCCCTCTGGAGAGGGTTCTGTGGGTACTGCACACGCTCTATAAGCACTGCAAAGCTCTTCAAAGGAGAAGGACCTTCACTCGAACAGGAGGGCTTATGCGGGTCTGTGTTACTGAGGTGGGAGGGAGAAGAGAAACTTCAGGACAGACAGGGAGACCGAACCTATCAGGATGGGCCCGCAGTGAGTTACAGTGAGAAGGGTGAGAATGTATGCCAGCAACAGCACCATGACAGTGTGACGAGGATGGTGCAGATTAACCTTGGGAGTTTGCTTGTGGGGGTGTGGGGGTGTGGGGGGGGG